GGGGGGGCACAGGTGAGCTTCAGGTATGGGGCACACAGGTGAGCTCCATTTGTGGGGTGCAGGTGTGTCTGGGAGGGGATGGGGTGCCCCGGTGAGCACCAGGTGTGGGACACAAGTGTTTGGAAGGGAGGACATGAAGTGGGAAGGGGATGGGATGTACAGGTGAATGCCAAGTGTCGGCCCAGGTGTGTGTAGGACACAAGTGAGATCCAGATGTGGGCACAGGGATGTGGAGGGCAGAGGTGAGCACCAGGTGTGGGGCACAGGTGTGTGGAAGAAAGGGGATGGGACACAAAGGGACAAACTCTAGGTGTGGGCACAGGTGTGTGTGTGTGGCACAGATGTTGGGGGGAAGAGGGTGGGATACACAGGTGAGCTCCAAAGGTGGGGTACAGGTGAGCACCAGGTGTGCGGGATGTGTGTGTGGTGTACAAATGATCTCCACACTGTATCTGATTGTTCAGGGCAATTAGACACGGTGCTGGGGGACAGGTGGATGACACACCTATGCGTTGGCAGAGTTGGACAAACAGCGCCCCAAATCCTCACATGCTGGCTCTGCCCCACACCTGTCTGTGCTCCCCTGTCCCATGCCTGGCTGTATGTCCCTGTGCCCCACACCTGTCCCACACATCTCAGGTGTGGAAACCACCTTGGTGCCCCTGTCTCACACCTGTACCTGTCCCCCAGATCTCTCAGGTGTGGAACATGACTCTGGTGCAGCTGCTGCGCAGTGTGCACACGCTGGGGCTGGACCGGGGCCGGCGCCAGGTGCGCTCGCTGGAGCAGGAGGTGCTGTGGCGGACCTGGCGCCAGCTGGCAAACCTGGCTGAGCACCTGGCCGGGGCCCAGGGCAAGGACAGCCAGTACCTGCTGCCCGAGGTGCTGCACAAGCTGGAGTTGCGCTGGACCGAGCTGGAGGGGACGCGCAGTGTGGTAATGCTCATGGCCAAGGTGGGACACCTGTCACCTACACTCATGGAGCGCCTGGAGGACAAGGTGAGGGCCTGGGGACACCTGGGTGCTGTGGAGGCTAACGAGGGGTACCTGGCCCCGGTGGGGAGGGGAGGGACCTGAACCTTGAACTGATCTGTATGGGGTGACCAATCCCACCTGGGGACCCCAGTTCCACCCAGGGACTCCAGTTCCACTTGGGTACACCTGTTCCAGTGACACATGTTCCACCTGGGGACACCAGTTTGCCTCCAGGATATCTGTCCTTCCTGGGGACATCAGTTGCTCCCAGTGACACCAGTTCTACCTGGGGATACAAGTGCCTCCCAGTGACACCTGTGGTACCCAGGGCTACTAGTCCCACCTGGGGACACCTGTCCCAGTGACACCAGTTCCACTTGGGTACACCCGTTACACCTAGGGATACCAGTTCCTCCCAGTGACACCAGTTCTACCCCGAGATCAGATGTTCAAGGTGTTTCCACCTGAGGCACCAGGTAGTTGGGGGTATCTTCCACCCTCAGGCCCCCAGTCCATACTGGCGTGAGAGCTAACTCATACTGGTCTGTACTGGTGTGGGTGTGCTGGGCTACTGCATCCCCAATAGCCACCTGAGCTCCACCTGAACCTGTTCTCTCATTCTGGTGGTGTTACCTGGGGGCAGAGCCTGACACTACCTGTGCCTGTCCCTGCTCATGCTCCAGCTCCTCCTCAATCCCCTCACCTGATCCCCTCACTTTTCCCACCTGTCCCCCCAGGTGCTGGAGCTGGCGGATCAGCTGTCCCCAGAGGAGCTGTGCCGCGTGGCTGTGGCCCTGGCGCTGCAGCAGCGCCGCAGTGTGCCCCTGCTGCGAGCCCTGTCCTACCACCTGCTCCAGAGGCACATGGAGCTGCAACCGTCAGGCCTGCTGGACCTGCTCTTCGCATACAGTCAGTGCCAGGGACACCTGGGGATAGGCCTGGGGTGTCACTCTCACACCTGGAGGGATTGGGGACAGGCCTGGGGTGTCACTCTCACACCTGGAGGGGTCGGGGACAGGCCTGGCTGTCACTGTCACGCTTGTGCCAAGTGGAGACACTTCAGGGGCACTAGGGATAGTCCAGAGTTTGATATCACTGTCACACCTGAGCTAGGGACACCTGAGGGGATTGGGATACTCCTGGGGTGTCACTGTCACACCTGAGAGGGACTGGGGATAGTCCTGATGTGTCACTGTCACATTTGAGGGGGATTGGGGACACTCCTGGGGTTTGGTGTTGCTGTCACACCTGCCCCAAGCGGAACAGAGCTAGAGCTGCCTGTGCTGGCAGCAGGGAGTGATCCTCGAGGTACCAAACCTTCCTGTGGTTTCTTCTCCAGCCAGGTGAATGAGGGGATCCAGACAAGCCCCAGGAGCTCTTCTCCAGGGGTTATCCTGGTCCTGGGGATGAACAGGTGGGAGGGTCATTGTAGGTTATCCCTGTGCTCTAAGTATGAAGCTCAGCACACCTGGGGACTGGTCATTTCAGGTGTCCCAATCACCTCCCCAGCACACCTGGGAGCTGGGTGTGAGCCCATCCCAAGTGTTCCATCACTCCAGGTGTCCCAACTCCCTCCCCAGCACACCTGGAGTCCCTTCATGCCCTGGAAGGAGCTTTAAGCCCTCCCTGGAGCCCTCTTTCCCCCAGGTGAGCACTCCCAGCCCTCACCTGTATGCTCAGGTGGGGTGGGGGATGCTGTGGCCAGGTGACCCCATGCCCTTCACCCTGTACCCCCCCACAGGTAAGCTGAACTTCATGCAGCCTCAGGTGCTGCAGCGCCTGTCGACTGACCTGCAGCCACACCTGCCCACGATGACACCTGCGCAGGTGACACGCTGTGCTCGTTGCTTCGCCGCCCTGCGCTGGCTCTGTGCCCCCCTCTGCGAGGCCATCGCTCAGGTGAGCACTGGGGGGGGACAGGTGAGGCAGGGGACACTCATCTCTACAGGTGGTGTCACCTGAGAGCAGATTCTACTCACCTGTATGGATGCTGTCACCTGGGAACAGGTTTTCTTTGCTTGTCCAGGTGGTGTCTCTTGGGAGGAGGTTCTCTTCACCTGTACAAGTGGTGTTACCTTTCCTAGCAGGAATTGGGGGGAGCACAGGTGGGGGAGTAGGTGCCCCTCACCTGTCGGGGGACAGGGGGACAGCAGATAGGAGTAGGTACCCCTTACCTGCCTGTGGGAGCCCACAGTTGGGAACAGGTTTCTCTCCTGTCCAGGTGTTGTCATTGGAATGTGGGGGACACAGGTGGGGAACAGGTGTCCTTCACCTGTCCAGGCATTGTCACAGTTTCTAGTGGGAATTGGGGGTGCACAGGTGGGAGCATATTCCTCTCACCTGTCCAGGGGAGACACAGCAGGTAGGAGCAGATGACAGAAACATCACCTGTCCAGGCAGTTGTTGGTGTTTGCCAGTGGGAATTTGTGATCATTTTCCACTGGATATGGCTCAATCCAGAGCCTCCAGCCCTGGGTGCTGCTGCTGCTCACTCCCAGTCCCTCCCCTGCACTTCCCCATGTACACTGGGATATTCCAGATCTTCCCCTTGCTCCTGGCTAAGCTTGCAGGTATCCCTCACTCATGTTCCCCTTGGGAGGTGTCTCTGGCCAACATTCCCACCTTCCCCCCACTATGCCTATCTTGGACAGCCCTCAATTCCCTGTTTTTCACAGTATTGCCTGGACAACACGGAACGCCTCTCAGCCACTCATCTCTGTGGGATAATCCTGGCCTTCGCTCGCCTCAACTTCCAGCCCAGCATAGGACAGGAGTTCTTCTCAATGGTGACTTTCCTGGGAATTTGGGGATCTCTGGCAGGGAGGGACCTCAGGGACGCCCACAGCCAGGAGCTCCTTGCCAAAATCCACCCAAATCCCCCTTTCCCATGTCCCAGATTCCTAAAAGGGTCCCAGATCTCTTCCAGTGTCCCAGATTCCTCCAGGAGTCTCAAATCCCTCCCAGTGATCCCAGATCTCTCCCAGCTCACTTGGAGCCCCTTCAGGCACTGGGAGGGTCCCCAAAGCCTCCCCAAGGTGACCCCCCCAGCTCCCACCTGTCCCCAGAGCACAGGTGTTCTCCTGGCACATTGCCATGGGAAGGGGGTGTGGATGTTGGGGACCATGGAGTGAGGGGCCAGAGCCCCTCTGAGAGTCACCTGAGAGTGACCCTATGGCCTCCCCTGTGTGTCAGCTGGGGGTGGTGACACCTAGGGACACAGTGACACCTCAAGCTCCGTGTTGTCCCTGTGCCAGGTCCATGGGCAGCTGCAGGGGCAGATGGAGCAGCTGGAGCCTCACCTGCTGACAGATGTGGTGTGGGCACTGTGTATCCTGCAGCAGGTACAGCCCTGTCACCTGAGCCACGTGCTGGCACCAGAGTTCCAGAGCCGACTACGAGGTGAGGGCAGGGACATTTGGGACAGCTGGGACACTTGGGACAGCTGGGACAGGGAGCCTGGGCCCTCCAGATCTGGATCCATAGACTGGGGAGGAACTCCAGGTGTGGGCAGGGTGAGGAAGGGGTTACCTGTGCCACAGGTGACACTGGACAGGTGCAGCTTTGTCAAATTCGGTCCTGTCCCCCCCCCCCGGAGCGCCTGCCACAGTGACCTCCGTGTCCCCATGCCCTGGGGCCCATCCCATGGGACCTGGGGTGTGGATCCCACTGGAGACAGGGAATCTGGGAGGGGTTGGGGCTGGGAAGGGCTTCCCAGGTGCGGGAGGTCACCTGTAACATCCACATAGCTGTTAAACCCTTCCCAGGCCACACAGCCTTTTCCATGAGGAAAATTCCCAATATCCCACCTGACCCTCCCCTCATGCCGCCTGAGGCTGCTCCCCATGTCCTGTGGATGTCACCTGAGCCCAGTCACACTTGGCTTGGCCTGTCCCCAAAGGTGACACTCCCTGACACCTGGGGACACAACCCATGTCCCAGGTAGCACATTCACCCCCAGGGCTGGACAGCACTTTCCCTGGGGAATATTCCGAGTATCCCACCTGACTCTGCCCTGCTGCCACCTGAGGCCATTTCTCCTGTCCTGTGGGTGTCATCTGAGCTCAGTCACACGTGGCTCAGCCTGTCCCCACACAGGTGACACTGCCACACCTGGGGACACAACTCATGTCCTGAATATCACATCCACATAGCTGTTAAACCCCTGCAGGGCCACACAGCCTTTTCCATGAGGAATATTCCCAATATCCCACCTAACCCTGCCCCGGTGCCACCTGGGGCTGTTCCCTGTGTCCTCTGGGTGTCACCTGACTCCCTGCGGGTGACACTCCCCTGCACCTGCGAACACCATCCATGTCTCAAGTGCCACATCCACACCCGGAATCCGACAGCCCTTTCCATGACAGCCCTTTCCATGAGGAATATTCCCAATATCCCACCTGACCCTGCCCTGGTGCCTCCTGAGGATGTCCTGTGGGTGTCACCTGACCCTCTTCTGCCTGTCTCTGCAGGTGACACGTCCCCGAGGGCTGAGAGCTCATGGCTGAAGCTCATCCACATCAACGCCACAGCGCGGCTGGAGGCTGTGGGCTATGAGGGGCCCTTCCTGCCCCCTGAGGCACTGGGGGGGGACAGGGGCAAGGACAAGGACAAGGCCACCCCCCTGCAGCGAGGGCTGCGGGAGGCACTACCAGGGGCACTGGGGGGACATGACCTCGGCCGCTACGACATGCGTACGGTGTACGGCTGGGACATCGGTCAGTGACACCTGCCTGCTCCTGACACTCTGGCACCTTCCCTGGTGCCTTCCCCTGCTACCTGCCTGCCCCTGACATCTGCATGGGCAGGCATGGGGACCTACAACCCTGTCACCTGCCCCAGCCCCTCCCCAGCCCTGTCACCTTCATGTCATCCCACAGCCCCCTCATCCCCCGCCGCCTCGTCACCTTTCCCTGTCACCCTCAGGCCCCTATCCCCGCAGCCTTGTCAAATTCGGTCCTGTCCCCTCATGACAGGCACCGGCCAGTGGCTGGCCCAGTG